TATCATGTAACATATCACGCACAAATGGTTAGCATTCTTATTGTGCATGAAGGTGAATATCATGGAACATATTCAACATATTGTTTACATGCAACCCTTGAAGGTGTTCTCAACCTACCACTTCCTCTATTACAAGATCTTGTTGCCTATTATCAGTTGAGTTCTACATCATGGATGTAGCTGGATTGAGAATTTGAGAATTTACAACTGAATGACAACAAAATGGAGAGGTGCAACGAGAACTTCTATACTTAAGTCCCGCGTCGATTTCACATGACATAATATCAGTGTTTATATAGCTCAGAACAATCCCAGATTCTTGTCCCCACATGTTTTATTCTTGTAAAATGGAAATATGTTGAAGTGCTTGGGCCCATAAATTTTTGTTTAAAATTTCTGTTAATTAATTCAGCTAATTAATTTATTATGAAAATAATTAATTAATTAATTAATTATGTAAAAAAATATTAAATACTAAATCATCTTAGTCATATTGCTGTGTCATTAAAATTAATTTTTTATCCTAATTGTTAAGAGTACCACATCGGACAATATATGGCATGAACATGTGTTTAAAAGTGAGGGTAATTCTCACTCTACCAACCGGTTTTGTAGGGTTGAGTTAGGCCCAACCACATTTCTTAATATGGTATCAGAGCCTCATGTGTTTATAAGTGGGGGTAATCCTCACTCTACCAACCGATTTTGTAGGGTTGAGTTAGGCCCACACATTTCCACCACCATCTCTTTATATCCTATGAGGTGCGTCACACACCTAAGCAAACTCAGTTTATTCAGCCACACATTTTATTTTTGTTAAAACATGGTCTGAAGATGCATTTATACCGGGATGCATATCCATAATATCCCTTTATGTCATTTAAAAGATATTGAGAGAGTTTTAATTACACACAAGAGATATTTCAGAGATACATTTTTGGATACACTTCTAAATAATTTCAATGTAACAACATTGTCCTAACATTGTAATTTTTTGAGGCCAAACATATTAAAGTAAAATCAAGTAATATCAAAGTAAAATGAAAGTAAAAAGTCACACATTAATTAAAATAAAATCAAAATCTATCGACATACGTAACTTGTTCCAAAAATACAAACTACTGAGTATGCCCAACCCCGACTGGTTTGCCTGTATTGCAAGGCATTTCGAGTCTCGACAATAATACAATCTAAGAGGGTCAATTGGGGACTGCCTTCCTCAATATTGTCTTTATGTCCGATCTCGCCATACCCATAATACACCGATAGACTCTGCTTACGTTCTGGGTGTGGTCATCCCTAGCCTAAAGTACCTTTTGATTAGATGCCCTAGGTGGTTTTCCAAAAGCGTCTAAGGTCATGATAATGTGTGACACCCTATAGAGCCATGTCATGTAGTCGTATACATAGACCCAATGTACAAGAGCTAGCACCCTGCGATACACATATAATACCAAATGACTATCAAAACCCTTAAGTATCGCATCAAGATCTCTACGGTAGACGGTGGGGGAGCAAACTATAAGGGGTGTCTCAAAATATTCTACAAATATCCAAATTGGCGCATCACTCGCTCAGACAAATACATATACATCAAACATGACCCTTATACCAGCCATCAGGAGTATAACAAAATTAGGTCCATCTGACACTCTGTACGGGACAAACGTTTCAACTCAAAAATGAGGAAAAAGTGAGAAATAATTCATCCCTGAAAATGGTTAAGATAAAATATTAGTAACAAGTGTAACAAAAAAGTCATGAAAATATTAGTAATAATAAATTACCGTAAGCAGCGTGTAACTTCCTGTCACTTGCTTTGTCTTTCAAAGACAACCCTCGTCCGACTTCGAGTACAGGTATACCAAATAGACGACTCACAGTTGTACTCGTGAATCATCGTCAAGTTGATGAAGTATAAAGGTAGACCACATTGACGTATGCTGCATTTTTGTCCACAAATATGGACGTGCAAACTAGAAACAAGAGGTAACAGCTCAATTCACACTGTCGACGGTACTCAACTTGCATATCATCACCATCGACATCCACATCCATTTTCATGTGGTCTTTATAAAGTTCTTTCAAAAATTTAAATTTAGCATGAACACCTTTGGTGTCTACCACTTCATTTGCAACCTCAATTGGGTTAAACCCCAAATATGTAACCAACATCTCGCTAGCTTCCTCTCGACCGATCCTTCCGTGGTTCAGTAATTTTTCTCTAATGAGAAGATGCAGAAGACATGATACGTAATCTAGGGTGATAGTCATCTCGCCAATAGGAAGGTAGAAAAATGACGTCTCTGAATATCATCTCTCTTTGCAAATGCCTCCTGCATGCCTTGGTTTATGGTAGTGTTCACAACAACACATAAACCGGCAATACCAGAGTAGTGATAACATCCCTGAACCAGATAACATCAGACTGTTCCAAATACAATATCTTCCTTTGGTGGTTTATGAATTTTAAACATGGACACTCATATAAGAAAAATCATCATCAGTTGCGATTAAATTAGTTTAAAATAGAGAGTTGTAATGCAAAGGTAAATAAATATACTTTTCATTCCCAAACATGTCTACCAGTATGGTTTCCATAGAGATGAAGTAAGGAGGTGTCAAATGGGCCTCATGGATAACTATCTATATGGACATTAACAACATGTTCCTCCTGAATTTTAGGGGTTTCAGGTACTTCATCAGCTAGGGACACATGGCTCTATGAAGTAGATGCATGAGACAGGCGACTATGGAAAGTAGAACTAGATGGATGTGAAACTCAACCTTGTGAACCATCACACAAGATATCATTGACTCATGATCTCGCAACCATGCCTTTGCCCCTCTCACATCGTACAGACACGTGTTGGGACACGTGATCGAGTCTAATTCTGTCCGAGTTGTTTTCAGTCATTGCATTTGTAGTAAAACTAGAAAGTCACATCAAAATTCAACCAAAATGCAGTCAAGCACAAATTCAGATATATATATCTCTGAAAACAGTACAGAGAAAATCTAGAGATGCATCTCTAGATGAACTTGCAAATTTCAGCAAGGACAAAACCCCTATTGATGCCCTAATCTCCAACCAAACACCAATGCATGTCTCTATTAGCTACCTATTTCGATTTTACAACTATCTAGTGCAACTTAAATAGTATATGTTATCTAAAACATCATTCAAAACACAGAAAAAAGAATGAAGTGAAAAACTTACCAAATTTGAGTTGTGGATGAGAAGCTTGAGTGAAGTGAGTAGCTTTATAGCAAATGAAGTAGAATGGAGTAAGTGAACTTGATGAAACGTGCTCAAATGGGGTTTGAAAATGGTTTGCAACAAAAGAGCTTAAATGAAGTTTTTTGAGTGATTTTTCAAAAAAATGAAGGAGGAATATGGAAGGTCTGACGAGAGTTAATGAATAAAACGCGTTTGAAGACACATCTTTGTAAATCTCTCTGAATTTTGAATTAAGGATGTTTACGGAGATGTATCTCCAGACTCACCCTTATGTTATACAGAGATACATCTCCAGATTAAATTTTGACAATAAGGACGGCTCATCCAATTGCTCTAAAGGGTGTGTAAAAAAAAGTGTGCTTAAATATATATCTCTGAAAGCAAGGAACATTTTTAAATCTTCACGGGTAGTGGAAAAGCACCTCGTGCGATTTAAAGAGTAACCCTCATTATATATTTCCTTCCTTTCCACTCTATTCTATCTAAACCACGAACCATATAAGTCCTAATAAGAATGATTTTGAAAATTAACTTAACTTCTGTAAATAGATTTATATTAATAGATTTATGTTAATTTATATTATTCTTTCTATTTCTACAATTATTCAGGGTGTTTGATAATATTGAGTATTCCGAAAGTTAATTTTCGTAAAAAATACGGAGATTCTTTCGGATTTTTTTAGCTCTTTTCTTTAGCTTGAATCTGAGACTTGATTGTAGTTGCATTTTGCATTTTGAGTATATATGAAATTTAACTTTCAGATTTTAGAAGTATTATTGATTTTTCACCAAGGTACAAAGAATAATGTTACTTGCTTGGCCTCTTGAACAACAACGATCTCTACGACTACGACCTTCAATGCTATGAAGACAACATGGAGTAGATGGAAAATGTAAATACATATGATTATATAGAAAAATACTTAGATCCACAATGCACAATCAAGTAGATGGAGGGAGGAAGCTGGATAAGTTTACTGGAGCTAGAAGATAATAAAATTTAAGTGAGCGTGAAGATAGTAGAAAGAGAGAATAGAGGAGATGAAAAGAGTGAGGAAAGACAGGGAGGAGGAGATGACAATATAATTGCTTGTTTGCAGTGAATAATCAGTTGAGCATGGTTGTTTATGCAGTGGAGGTCAATTTCAACAAAGGTGAGCAGTGATGGTTTGAGTTCAATGAAGGTTGCAATCATAGGTGGGGGATGACAACTAGGAAGGGGGCAAATACCGTTTGTGTCAAGTTAGACACATGGTGGAAGCCACAGAAGGTGAGTTGTAAGTTTCTTAAGCAACTGAATGGAATTAGGTAACAGACTACAAGCGACACAAGGGTAAAATACTTTCTATTCACAACTGATAACATTTAACTCATTTATTTGCATGAACTATAAATAAATAAAATTTTGTTGGGATCAATATCAAATTTGATCAGTTTTTGTAATAATAATAAAAAGTATCTGATCTATTCGAGTATTATGCGGCCAATAACGCTTATCTGTTTCTATATATTATTATTAATCTGGGAGAATATGCTTCCACATTGAGTCATAAGACATGTACAAAAAAAGCAAGAAAGTAAAAAACCCTTTAAAACATGGAAACTAAATTGATTCCCCCCCAAAAAAATAAAAAATAAATGATACTAATAATAGAGTATGTATAATTTGGATGCAGTCGGAGAAAATACATTTCACCGTGGCTACAGTGCTAACTGCAAAACTGATACTTTATCATCAGCATTAACAAATAGGTCTGTTTCAGTCAACTTCTGTACTATTTCTTGCAGGTCGGGTTGTGTTGTACATATAAAGCCCACATACAAGAATTGCACAACCAAGCATAAAGAATGGACTCAAGGTTGTTCCTCCCTCTGGAAGATATGGTAATGGAAGGGAAAGAGTATAAACAGAAACTGGCACTGCAAACACCATAAGCACACATTAGCTGAAAAGCTCACAAAAAAATATAGTAGATAGGATCCCATCAAGTTCAAACTTTTACACTTGCACCACTTAATAATTGACTCATTCAAAATAAGTGATTAATGTAAAAAAAATTGACACCTAGGGTCAATTGATCCTATCTATGCCTATGCAGACAGAGGAAGAGAGAGAGAGAGAGAGAGAGAGAGAGAGAACCTGACAACATTAACACGAGAGAAGCAACAACTGCAGAAGAACTCTTCAGTACGCTAAGCAGGGATATATTGAATGCCAGATTGGTAATTACGTAAAGCAGTGGAAGCAAGGGAGCACCATCACAACCTGAGACATGGAAATGAATGTTTTCTACAAGGTTCAAAATCATTAAAGGGATGAAGAGCTATTTAATTATTGAACCTTTTCACAAAAATGAACAGAAGCCAAATAACAAATTCCGTACAATTATGAGAATTTCAATTTAAAATTCTATTTGGGCTGTGAGCCCACTCTTATGTACACTGGCTTCTCATCCGACGGATTAAGAAGGTTATGATCCTAGAACTTCAGATTAGGTATAGCATTGTGATATGAACTTAGAGAAAACCATAACACATAAGATAGTCACGTCCTAAGAAAACCCAAAAATCAGATAAAACCATCAGTCCCCATACTTATGTTACATTGTGATATGAACTTAGAGAGAACCATAACACATAACATAGTCATATCCTAAAAAAACCCAAGAATCATATAAACCATCAGTCCTCCATACTTCTGATACAAGACATAAGCCCCCATACCTTACAATAGGGTTCTAAAGTTTTACAATGCTCTGTAGTCAGTGTCACCATCAGTCGTATGACACCCGTACGACACATGTCAGAAAATCAGACAAATGTCGAAAAAGTCAAACAGGTGTCTTGAAATAAATGATTATTTTTTTGGCTTTTACACTCTTTAAATCAGTGTCTGAAACTCGTATGACACTCATATAATACATGTCAGACAATTTAGACAATTGTTTAAAAAAGAATGTGTATTTTTTCTTTGCTTCAACACACCTTATACATTTCTAAGACAAATCCAACACACATCTAAGTAATGTTATCAATGAAAAATTAAAGACAATAATTTGATTAAGAAATTTTTAACTCTTTTAATAATAGATAGAGAAATGAAATTCAAATACTATCACATATGTATCAGTGTCGGTGTTCTATGTTTTTGACATTATCAGTGTCGGAATGTCCGTGTTAGAGTCAGTGCTTCATGGGGTGGAAGGCTCTGATACCAATGATATAAACCTTAGGAGAATCACACCACTAAAACTAGCTATTGTGGTTGGAGGTGGAGGGTTTGTGATCGTCTACTTTTGTTGTGGAACTCATGTACAATAGCTTGCAAATGGATTGTAATTTGCGACACATCAATGCACTTAAGAAAATAATCATTTACTCTTAATAATTAATCTGATAGTGTTGTGATGTAAGAACAGAAGAAATTAAAGGAAGTGTAGACAAGAATAGAAAACCATGTAGGAAGATGTGTTATTGCATTGCTACGTAGTATCTATTAGAGTTTACCTGTTTTATCAGCTCCAATGTTTAGAAAGCAAACAGCACCACTTTTAAGATATGAAGGCAGTTGAGCAAATGGTATTCCTTTCAAGTTAGAGATTAAAGGTAGGAAGAGAAGTACGAAAAGAGCCTACAATATATATCAGAAGCTAACCATAAATATGGCTCACAGTTATTATTTAATTAATATACATAAAATATATATAACCAAAATAAACTCGAAATATTAAGAGGAATATTAACAACAAATTTTTTATCATCTTTTAGGTTACATATACATGTTGTACATAATAAGATAAGATTCCTAACACTAATAGTATAAGTATTCTAACAGTTGGCATTTGTTATTTGTAACGGGACAAACAAAAGCAATGCATTTTGAGGTTATCTAAAAGGATATAGAGCATAAACTTAATTTGAACTCACAAGATAGCAGATCTACTAAGATATAAGCAAAAACAGGATATAGAGACCACACATTTACCTTCGTTTTATCAGGTCATTAAAAAGTTGTGAAAGGCACACTTATTCTAAGTAATTTACATTGCACCAACCATCATATTTAAACCATTTACAATTCATGTTACTATTGCAAGCCATACCTGAAACCCAGATCCAAAAGAATTGACCACAAATATATCCAACGACTTCTGCTGCAAGAGAACAATGTTACAGACTTCAAATCATGCCCATGAGTGAGATGGCAATGGAAACTATAGTACAGATTCCAGTGACTTTAACCCCCCCAAAAAAGAGTAAAAGAAAACATACCTTTAATCGAGTGGAAGAATCAAGAAAGACAAATTCCTGCCGTACACAAAAAAGCAGTAATTATTTTGTTCCCTAACAAGGTTTTACTAAATTTCAACATCTATTTCTGGACTAACTTTGATTATCGAAGCCCCAGCTTGAAAGGCACAAGAAACCATCATCAATACTGGCCAAAAGAAGTCCACTTTAGAGAGCATCTGACCTGCATTAGAGCCACTGCAATTATGGGAAACAAATCATCAGATAGGCCCACTTTATGTGTCACAATATATGAAAAATACCTCCGTACCTTTGATAATACAAAAGTATCTTTGTCTATCTTCTGGCAGTAGTTTCGAATTTTGGAGAATCATAGGTTACCTCTTAAGATTATTTTTCATATTTCTTAGTTACTATTTTGATTTGTTTCCTAGTACTGCTTAGTTGAATAGTTGTCTTGTATATATAGGGTTTCTTGACTGCACATAATTCAGACTCACTTGGCCCGCATTTAGCTTCTGCCTTTGTTAGGTGATTAAGCATGTATGCTTTTGTTGAGTTGAGTAGTTACACCTTGAGTATTTACAACTTCTGTTTAATAGTTAAGCATTGGCGTTTTTGCTTTTGTCTTGAGATTCCGAGGCTCATCTTTTATTTCATGCTCTTGATGGTTAAGCTTTGGTGCTTCTGTCTTTTATTGTGGTTAACTTGTTCAACATTTGACTTTGGTTTGAAGACGTGACACCTTCTAGTTGGGTCTTCAGTTGTGATTAGCGCTGGCTCAATATTGTTTCAATTTAGTTTTACACCTATTATGGATTCACTTGCGGTAAGCATTGGTCCAATATTGGTTTTGGGTTGATATGAAATTGTGATATTTCCAGTTTAGGCTTCAGCTACTGTTGGAGCAAGCTTATCTGCTTTAGTTTATATGTTGTTTGTGAGAATCAACGATGATTTCCCTAGTTGGTTATTCAGTGGTTTGTTCTTTAACGGGAACTTCAATGGTGATATCTCATAGGAATGGATCGGATCCCACAAATGATGATGAGAATGTGTTAGTTAATAGAGATATTATTGGACCTAAACAATGGAGGGTATATGTGAGAAAGAATAGGAAACTCCACAAATAAATAGGAGTTAGTTTAGGGTATTATTCTCCATATAAATAGGAGTTAGTTTAGGGATTATTTTCCATATAAAAAGGAGTGTATGGGGCAGTAGTTAGGCATGGATTAATATTCTGTTTTTTGATATTAGGATTTGGACAGTGAGAGAATTGTTTCTCTGACTGAGGAGCAGTAGCTCTGGAATTTATTTTACTTTCACATTCATTAATAAAATACTTTTCTTTATCATATTATATCATACCTCTGTTCTATCAATTGGTCCGACCTGCCGTTGTTCATGCCCAAAGCTCCTAAGATGGCTGACCGTGTTTCTGCAGTGGAAGAAAGGTTGGAAGGTGTTGAGGCTAGCATTGCTGCGTTACGAGAGTTCATTGGTGCTGAGATTCAACGTGCAATGGCTCATCGTGAAGTGCCGCAGCCAAGCAGTGCGACAGTTTCCTCACCGCTGGATGAGTTTCGTTTATCTGCGAAGAAGGTGGAGTTGCCGGCATTTACCGGTGACGATCCGGTTGCATGGATCACTCGGGCAGAGACATACTTTGAGGTACAACGAATTTCGCAGGATGTTCGTATTCAGTTGACCAAATTGAGTATGGAAGGCCCTACTATCCATTGGTTTAACCTATGGCATGATTCAACAGAGGAATTGTCATGGGAGAACCTCCGTGAGGCGATGATGGTTCGATTTGGAGGTGGGCGTTTGGAGAATCCGTTTGAGGAATTAAAGGACCTAAAACAATCGGGATCAGTAGAGGAATATATTGCTGAATTCGAACTGTATTCTTCACAATGTGGTCGTTTGCCAGAACAACAGTTTCTAGGTTACTTCATTGGTGGTTTACGTCATGATATTCGTTCTCGTGTGCGTACCTTCAAGCCTCGCAACCGTTACCTAGCAATGCAATCGGCTCGTGATGTTGAAAGAGAATTTGCAGTGGCTTCTGGACAGGGTTCGGGAGCACGTTACAAACCGGGTCATGGTTCTTGGACAAAATCTCAAAAGCCTACTTGGGCTTTTCGCGAAGGGGACGGGAACGGATCTGCAACTCAGACCCAACCTAATAATTCTTTGGGCAAAACGCGGACTGGTTCGGATTCTGGATCTCAAACACGTCCTACCAATTCTACAGCATCTTCTCGCCCAAATTTAGGTGACAATTCACGCCGTCAATCTCGTGGTGTTCGCCATCTACCAAGTGCAGAGGTTAATGAGCGTCGTGCGAAAGGACTCTGTTTTCGTTGCAACGAACGATGGGATCCTCTCCATCAATGTGCAACAAGACAATTACGATTGATTATCTTGGGGGATGACGAAATTGTTAACGATGCAGGAGAGATTGTGGTGTTGGAGGCTGCGACGGAAGAAGAGCTCACACCAGAGGAATTAGAATGTAAAACCATCGGGCTGTTTGGTGTATCCACTAATCCAAATCAGGTCCGGACGATGAAATTGGAGGGATGTTTACACGGTGCATTAATTCTGGTACTTATTGACAGTTAAGCCACACATAATTTCATATCACCTAAGGTGGTTGAAGCCCTGGGATTGTCTATGGTGCCTTCTAATCCTTTGGGTGTTAAGTTAGGAGATGGTCATCGTGTCCTAACTAGGGGTAGATGCAATGGAATTCAGATGAAAGTGGGATCAGTGCAGATTTGCTTTGATGCTTATGTATTGGAGTTAGGAGGTGTGGATTTGATTTTAGGAGTTGTGTGGCTAGAAACGTTGGGGAAGGTGACCATGGATTGGAAAGAAATGTCTATGGAGTTCAACCATAAAGGCAGGATGGTGAAACTACTTGGTCAGGCTGTAGATGATAAGATGGCTACTTTCCAAAGCATTATCACTCCTTCTCGAATGATAGCAGGCTGTGAATGGCCTACCTTGATGGAGGTGTTAGGGTCACCGGTGTCGTGTGTCTCGGATCAACAGACTAGGGAGTTGGAAGGATTGTTGGAGCATTTTGTTATTGTGTTTAAAGAAATCCAAGGTCTTCCTCCGTCAAGAAACACTAGTCATTCAATTGACCTTTTCCAGGGTGCGGGTCCGGTAAGTGTGCGACCTTACAGATATCCTCATTTACACAAGGATGAAATTGAAAAACAGATTCAGAGCCTATTGCAACAAGGGGTGGTTAGAAACAGCACCAACGCGTTCTCTAGTCCCGTCATTTTGGTCAAGAAGAAGGATCAATCTTGGCGTATGTGTGTAGATTACCGTGCACTCAACAAGGTCACAATTCAGGACAAGTATCCTATTCCGGTTGTAGATGAATTGTTAGATGAGTTACATGGCTGTAGTTATTTCTCTAAGCTTGATCTTAAATCCGGTTATCATCAAATTCGGATGAAGGAAGAGGATATTCATAAAACGGCTTTTCGGACTCATGAGGGTCACTATGAGTTTTTGGTAATGCCGTTTGGCCTCACCAATGCTCCTGCAACTTTTCAATCGGTGATGAATGCAATTTTCAAGCCTTTTTTAAGGAAGTTTGTCCTGGTTTTTTTTGATGATATCCTAGTATACAGTAGTAGTTGGGCTGAACATTTACAGCACTTGGAGGTGGTTCTTAATATTCTGAAGCAGCATCAGTTTGTGGCAAATCGGAAGAAATGCACTTTCGGTCACCACCAAGTAGAATATTTGGGTCATGTCATTTCCAAAGCAGGGGTTGCTGTTGATCCTGCCAAGGTCAGCAGTGTGTTACAATGGCCTATTCCTAGGAATGTCAAAGGAGTGCGAGGTTTTTTGGGGTTGACGGGGTATTACCGAAAGTTTATAGCGAATTATGGAAAAATTGCTAAACCCTTAACACAATTGACAAAGAAGGATGGTTTTAGCTGGAATCCGGCAGCTGCCGAAGCTTTTGAGAAATTGAAAGTAGCTGTTACAACTGCCCCAGTTTTAGCCCTGCCTAATTTCAAGTTCCCCTTTGAAATTGAATGTGATGCCTCGGGAAAAGGAGTTGGTGCAGTATTGTTACAATCGAAGCATCCCATTGCATATTTTAGCAAGGCTTTTGATTCATCTAGGTTATCCAAATCTGCCTATGATAAGGAGTTAATGGCTTTAGTGTTAGCTATTCAACATTGGCGACATTATTTGTTAGGCAGGAGGTTTGTGGTTTATTCTGATCAAAAGAGCCTAAAACACTTGTTGCAACAACGTATTACCACAGCAAATCAGCAAGAATGGATGGCTAAGATATTGGGTTTTGACTTTGAGGTGGTGTACAAGGTGGGAGTAGAAAACAAAGTGGCTGATGCTTTATCTAGACAGCACGAGAATGCTGAAATGCAAGCGATTAAATCCTACCCTATTTGGCAGCAGAGCAGCCAACTGCAACAAGAAGTATCAAATGATCCTTTGCTTAAAAATATTATGGAAGCTATTCAAAAAGATCCTAATGCTAAACCTGGTTTTGCTTTAAAAGGTGGCATCTTATTCTACAAAAATAGGTTAGTTATACCGGCTAACTCGCCACTTATTGAGGAGTTACTCAAAGATTTTCATTCTTCTCCAAGTGGGGGTCACTCCGGCTACCTACGCACTTATAGGAGAATGGCAGGAACTTTATATTGGCAAGGGATGATGCGGAGGGTGCAAGAATTTGTGAAAGCTTGTGATACTTGTCAACGACAAAAATATGTGGCAACGACTCCTAATGGATTACTACAACCTCTTCCCATTCCGGTTATGGTGTGGAGTGAGATATCCATGGATTTCATCACTTGTTTGCCAAAAAGTAATGGATTTGAAGCTATATTGGTTGTGGTGGACCGTCTCTCCAAATACAGCCATTTCATTCCTCTTAAACATCCATTTACTGCTCGCTCAATAGCTGCTGTTTTTGTGAAGGAAGTGGTTAGATTACATGGCATTCCGGAGTCTATTCTTAGTGATCGTGACCCCTTGTTTGTGAGTATTTTTTGGAAAGAGTTGTTCAAATTAGTAGGTACGGTGCTTAAAATGTCCTCGGCATACCATCCCCAAACGGATGGTCAAACAGAAGTAATTAATCGTTGTTTAGAGGCCTATCTACGTTGTTTTATTGCAGATCAACCTAAGACATGGGCACACTGGATTCCATGGGCAGAACTGTGGTACAATACCACATTTCACGTGTCTACCGGGTTCACCCCTTTCGAGGTGGTATATGGTAGAAAACCTCCAGTGTTGGTGCATTTTTTGGAGGGTGAAACCAGAGGGGAAGCTGTAGCACAGGAGTTAAGGGACAGAGATGAGGCGTTGCGTCAATTAAAAACTAATTTACTCAAAGCCCAGGAGGACATGAAATTCCAAGCTGACAAGAAACGCAAGGCAGTGCAATTTGAGGTGGGTGACTGGGTTTTCCTCAAATTACGTCCTCATCGACAACAATCGGTTGTGCAAAGAATCCATCAAAAACTGGCCCCTAGATTTTTCGGTCCGTATCAAATCATAAAGAAGATAGGGCAGGTTGCTTATAAGTTGAAGTTACCACCAACATCTAAAATACATCCTACCTTTCATGTGTCGCAATTGAAGAAAGCGGTGGGCAACTATACTGCTACAATTCAGCTACCTATCATTTTAGAGTCAGAAAAAGGGGACATTACTCCGGCTAAGGTTGTGTCATGGAGGGACAAATTTGATGGTGGACAACATAAGAGAGAATGGTTGATTCAATGGGAAGGGATGGATGTTGGAGATGCTACCTGGGAAGAGGAACTGTTGCTGAAGAGTCAATTCCCTGACCTGCGCCTTGAGGACAAGGCTAATGTTGTAGGTGGGGGTGATGATAGGAATGGATCGGATCCCACAAATGATGATGGGAATGTGTTAGTTAATAGAGATATTATTGGACCTAAACAATGGAGGGTATATGTGAGAAAGAATAGGAAACTCCACAAATAAATAGGAGTTAGTTTAGGGTATTATTCTCCATATAAATAGGAGTTAGTTTAGGGATTATTTTCCATATAAAAAGGAGTGTATGGGGCAGTAGTTAGGCATGGATTAATATTCTGTTTTTTGATATTAGGATTTGGGCAGTGAGAGAATTGTTTCTCTGACTGAGGAGCAGTAGCTCTGGAATTTATTTTACTTTCACATTCATTAATAAAATACTTTTCTTTATCATATTATATCATACCTCTGTTCTATCAATATCTTTTAGTGTCTGGTTATATCAGGTGCCATATTTTCTCTTTTAAATGATATATCTTCAACAAGCTTACAGACTAACAAACTTTAGCTTGAGGAAAGTGTCAAAATATAAGAAAACATCTTACAGTATTTGAATATTTTAGACTAGTTTATAATCTTAGAATAACTTGATTATCTCTTAAGATTACTTTTCACAATACTGGTCATTGTTACGATTTGTTTCCCTATATATAAATGCTAGTGTTTACTGTTTAGTATTTTGTAACAAACTATTATCAATCATATTCCACCATAAATTATATTTCTTCTTGTTATTCTCTTTAATTTAACAAAAACCCATTATTTCAATAACGTAAAAGCATAATTCCATATCAATTTAGAGTTAGGTACTAACTGCATGATATTTGTACTCCCAACCAAATGAAAAGGCACGGCCTATACTACTAGAATACTAGAAGTAGCTAGCAACATAGGGTGTTACAAACAGTACAATGATATTTTTCCCAAAAATGCATTGGTATTAGTATTATTAAATGTTGAACAAATATTGCAAGAATAATTAAAAGAAATGAATTCTTGCCAAAACTATTTACAAATTTAGGAATTAGTCACTCAAAAGAGAAACTTTGGCATAGCGTGTGACGGAAGGCCATGAGTTCGAGTTGTAAATACAAGGTAAGGCTGCCTAAAATTGATCTAACCCTTTCTTGGACCCCGCTCAGTGGAAAATACTTTCACCAAGAACATTTTTATGTTACTTTTCTCAAAATCATTTACCTTCAGAAATACAGAAGAAAAGGGGAACAAAATTTCAATATCTTAGACCAAAATAAAAAAAAGGTACAAACCTTATGAATTTAATCTTTTAATCCTAGAGTGATATCAATATAGCCCTAAATTGGAAACTCAATCAATGTTTTTCTTATTATCTGTAGACACTGAAAATTTCGATGTCACTTTTTATGACTAAGGAGCTAAATTGATATCAACTTGCTTTAGACATGCCAAATCACATGTAGAGCATTTACTCTCTTTTTAATTGGAAAGGGAGGCGAGAAGTTTGATATTTTCAAGTCAATACCAGCTCATTCACTGCATATGCTTGTACAGCCTTAATTTTCATGGAAAAAACTTTATGCCCAAAAGAAAGCAAGCAATTCACACATAAGTATTCAAATTGGTAAGGGAGCTCTGCACAGGAAATTAAAAATGGAAAGTAGTGGCATGTATGATCCAGATAAGAAAGTTAAACTACCTTGAAATAGCAACCACGACACCAGTAGCTACTAGTAAACACCCAACAATTTGGTTGATTGAGTACCTTCTCCTCAGAATAAGAGTGGAAAACATTAACTGCCAAACTAAATAAGTCTGCAAAAAAAAGATTATACAATGTTTTGAGAATTTATGTTACAGATAGTAATACATTAAAATAACTAATACATTGGTTAACAAAAACACAAGAGAAATGCTAACAATTTGGAAATGGATCCAACTGAATAAAGAATGGGCCCCACATGATTTAGTGGACCTATATGAATTTCACCCAATAATAGTGTAAAAGAGTGTGCTGCCAACAACTCTCAAAACATAATTATGGGTATGCATATAATAAGATTCAATTGCTTCCATAATCAGGATTCAATTAATCTGAAATTGCATACATGGAATTTTGGACATCTGAGTGAAATTTCAAAATAAATGCAATGTTCCCAAGTAGTTGTACTTATTGGTAATATACTATTTAGAGATGCTTTCAGGTACTTCTAATGACAACACATTTAAAATATAAAATATTAAAACAATATCCAAACTAGTGTTTATGCAACAATATTATGATATCACTAAATTTTCTCCATACTAATAAAATCAGTAATAATAGAACTTCTGCAAAAACTTGAATCGTGTATAGCCATCACTTAAGAACAATATTCAATTCATTTGAAAATTTAAAGCGACATGATTGCGAGAATATTGAAAGTAAATGTGCCTGAAACACAGATTCCAGGATAATAATGTGTGCTCTCATTATTATACGATAACAACTCCGGATAGTAAATAAACATTCTTGCCACAGATTTTACGGATATGCTGTCATGTTCTTCCATCACGGTCAAAATAATAGGAGAGGCGAATAATGGGAATACGTAGAGACATGTTGTCAATACATACCTATATATGTTTTTAAATAACAAACCTTCTATACTCTGAGTGAATGCTACATCTACTGACCTATTATAAATATGGTAATGAAAATAAAGGGCAGATGTGTATTATTGAAAATAGAGACAATTGTTTTTTCTCTGGTCACTCATGTTATTTGACAAAAAAGATCCAACTCAAAATATTTAAGATACCTGATTCAATATGGGTATGACTGGTCCAGGAAGTATTGCTGCAGAAGGTAACCAACTTTCAGTTTTATGAATCTAGCGAGTGAGAGAAAGGTGAGAAGATATTTTCAAGAACTGAAAAAGCAAAAATTATCTATCCTTAAATTATAATATGCTGATTACAGCTGCATTTATAGCCTCTGTACAAAATAGTAGAACTGTAACTATTGATGAAGGTGTTCGTAATTGAATGCCAGTAATGGCACCAACTAAGCTAACTGACTAGAAACTTCTCAAACCTATCAATTGTTCCCAATCCTACATTCAAATCATCCCCCAACAAACTTATGGTAGTTTCATAAACTATTATAGAGAACTTTAAGCTGAAAACAACCTAAAGACATGTTATCAGTGGTTTTCATAAGCTCTATGAAACAGTCTCATGCGAGTAAATAAGCTCAGATAAGTCAATTTAAACATGCTCGAAATTATTTTTATTTTCACTCTCCTCACTTAAATAAACTCAATAAGAATAATACAGTTAAAAAACAAAATTGAAAAGGAAAATCTATCTGGATCACAAGCAGAATAGAACGCTACCTGCAGAAGACATTCCAGTAACCAATCCCAAAGCTTCTAAAAATCCAATAACAAAAAACCGCCATTTCGGAATCGCAAGCATCTCGTTAGTAACAATCCCTAACCGGTATCGCACATACAATATGCTAAAATATATAACAACATACCTAATCAAAACCACAACACAACAAAAAACAATTAAACTATTATCATCATTTCACAACAAACAAATATAAAAACAACAAAACAAAATCAATCAACAAAAAATTACCCAAAAGTAGTGAACTGAGCAAGAAAAAACGGATAATTATTCAACGGAACAAGCGCGAGTTTATAAAGCACGCGATTAGCAACTGCTAAACTAACAGTAATACCAGAGTTTAACAAAACGGTTCGATTGGACGCATTGGTCCAATCCGATGAAGACGAAGCGCGGGATTTGAAAACGGTTCGACGTGCGCGGTTGAATCTGGAAATGGAAGGTAAATTGAACGGCGATTTTATGGGAAGTGATGAACAAGACATTGGAATTAGGTTTAGAGTGTTGTTGAGTTTGCAAATTCGATTTTGGAAATGGAATGGAGAGAATGAAGAATGAGAAGGGAAGGAAGGGATTAACAAGGTTGAATATGAAGAATGTGAATAAACTTCCATAGCTATAGTAGCATTGCTCAGTTTTCTAATTGTTTCAACCAGAATCGATGGTGCTACTGCTCGTGAAAATTATATCATTAAATTAACTAGTATTTAGACCCGTGTAAATTAATTATTTTCATATATATTAAATATTAAATTGAAATAAAGTATAGAAGAATTAATCACATTTTTAATTAAATTTTGACATAATATAGTAGTAATAAAAATGAAATGAGAATAACCCTTTTTTTTTTTTAAGTGTCACTCTTTGAATAATTTTTTTTGTTTGTTTTTAATTGTCACTTGCCAAAATCAAGGGAGTATTAAAATTTTTTTTGTGTCAAAATCACACTTAGATAATTATTATATAGAGAAAAAAAGTAAAATAAATATAATAAATAGTTAGGGATATTATAGGTAAAAAGAAAATTATTGCAAGAAAAATAACAATATTGATTAATTTTCTTGTTATGCGTAAAATATCAAAAAGTGACACTTAAAAAGAAAAGGCAAAATACCTTTTTTCGTCCCTTAACTTTAACTCGGGGTCTATGTTGATCCCTTATCTTTAAAAAGTGGCAAGTTGGTCCTTTAACTTTTAAAATGGTGTCATTTTAGTCCGTACCGTCAGTTGGCCCCAAACGTCCGTTTGTTTTGTATATCTGACAGATGACATGGCAATCTTGTTCATGATGTGGCTTCCTTATCCCTCCTCCTTCCGTTGAAATCCCTAAAATAATTCCAAATCTCAAATTCCAATCCCAAATCCCTAAATTAATCTAGGTTTTTTTTTATTTGGCAAGCATGAAATCCGGATGTTCCTCTTCCATTTTAAAATCGAAAAGTCGGGATTCGGATGTTTGTAGTCGGTCACGATGGAAGTCGATGTGCCATTGTGGAGACATGATTGTTCTTCAAAGGGCAACTACTGTTAAGAATATGGGGAAAAAATTTGGGGTTGTCCAAATTATAAGTTATGCAACTACTATTAAGTTATGTTTCTGTTTTTTGATGTTTTTGTTTATTATTCATCATCCTCTAAACAATGAAACTTACACGGAGGTATGCAAGCTGGTTGTGGCTTCTTTGATTGGTTTTATGAGGAGATGGGTGATGAGAAGGAGCAATTTTGGATGCATAGGTTGGGTGTGGTAACTAAGGGACTTGCTGAAGCAAAAAAGGACATTGAAAAAGCGACAATGGAGAATGAAGAATTAGGAAAAAAGCTGATGAAACTTGAAATTGAAATGAAATATCATGAAGTGGAAAAAGATTTTGAATTTGATGTTTGTGATGATTATCATTGTATTAGTTGTTAGGGGTAGTTAGGTTATTACGGTTTGTTCGGAAGTATTATGTTATGGTTTGTTTGTAAGAATTAAGTTAAGTTTTGGTGGTACGAATTATGTGTTTATGTTTAGTTAAAGTTTGTATCACTTCAACATGAATGTAATAGTTAGATTTTAATATATGGATTGTATCAGTTTAGTTAATTTCAGTTTTTGCAATTCAACATGAATGAATATAACAGTTAAAGATAATGTTAACTTGGTTAAAGTGTTTTAATTTGGTCTGTCAAAGCATAATCCACATGAATATAACAGTTAAAGTGTTTTAATTTGGTCTGTCAAAGCATAATCCACATGAATATAACAATTTTGGATTATATCATGTCAAAGTGTTTTTTATGTTTGGTATATAACAGTTTTGGTCTGTCAATGATATATTTGGATTATATTTGGTATATAAGAGTTTCGTATATAACAGTTTTTTATGTTTGGTATATAACAGTTTGGATTATATTTGGTATATAACAGTTTGGTATATAACAGCAGCATACATATAACAGTTTGGATACATATAAGTTGGTTCTGCTTTTAGTTTGGATTATATTTGGAGTATATAACAGCAGGATACATATAAGTTGGTTCTGCTTTTAGTTTGGATTATATTTGGAGTATATAACAGCAAGATACATATAATAGTTTGGATTATATTTGGATTATACTTGTTCCAAAACAACATGTTCATGACAGCAGTAGAATACAACAACCGTAGAACTTGTTCATGACAGCAGTAGAGTACATCATGTTCAAATTATAAACTTGTTCATGACAGCAGTAGAGTACAACAACTGTAGAACACATAAACTTGTTCATGACAACAACAATAGAATAAATAAACTTGTTCCAAAACGACAGCAGTAGAATACATAAACTTGTTATAGGTAACTAAATACACATGTTCCACAACTTAAAGTTTATTCTTTGGCGTGGTCCTCTTTGTTAGAGTAGACCTCCTTGTTACTGGGCCAACAACATTCTTCGCAGCACTCAACCTAGTTGTAGGCCCAGGTGGCACAAAAGGTGTTGTTGGCTTCTTTACAGGCAGCTTTTGGCAAGATTGTTGAGTAGGCTGAGTTGTTGAAGTAGGAGTGTGTTGACTAATTTGTTGAGCAGTATGAGTTGTTGAAGTAGGAGTGTGTTGACTAGTTTGTTGGCTAGGTTGTTGAGCAGTCTGAGTTGGAGTATGATTGAGTTGGGTTGATTGTTGGCTAGGTTGTTGAGCCACCCAGAAGTGTTTAAAGCGTCTCCTCTACTTACAACTGGAAATATATTTCTACGGCTTTGCCAATCATTGGTAAGTTTTATCCACTCTCTTCTCCATTCCTTTAGCTTGAAATGCTCCTTTTTCTCTAAGCTTTCTCTTAAATATTTAAAATAAATTGTAGCTCTGGGACCATAATAATCATGCAGAAGCCCACTCCAGTACTTGTTTCCTGTGAAAAATAGTAAAAACAGCATGCAATTAATTAGTATATCCAAATATCACACTGCTTTTCTTTTCTTTTTCTTTTTCTGTTAATTGTTGTTCAATACCATAGTCACGAAGCAGACTGGCCTCCTCATCTGTGTTGTCAAACCACATGGTGATTTGTGTTCTAGCATTCCACTCAAACTGAAAATGTTTACAACTGTAAATCAATACAAGTATATATATGATAAGATGGATTTTCAATTATATGCCAATAGAATTAAATCAAACATGTCTCTTTTGTTCTTCATTTTGAGCTAGTTGTATTGCACTATCTAACCAGGGCCCTAGAAGAAACCCATCATGGCAAGCCAACAATGCGTCTAAATCTTCCATTAGGTCCAGAAATCTTTGGCTGAGTAGAGTCACTCCATGGATAAATTACTTCAGATGTTGAATATCATAAGTGAGGTCGATTAAATGAATTGGTTATTTCCTTGATAATTATTCTTGAGTTTGGCTTGGCATAGGAACGAGAGTGTTCATGCTGTACGGGAAGTAAGGAAGGGTCGACATATGGGAATGCTACAATAACATCTCTATTTTTGTCCTGTTCCAATACACCAAAAATATCTGGTAAAAATGAAACATGATCTTCTAATTTATGCATGTGCAGTTGAAATGGAACATACAATATGCAGTTGAGGTTGTCATTTGTTTAGAGAAGTGATTTGTAGGATTAAAGGAGAACAGCAAATTGAGAAATATGCCGATGCCATGTGATTAGGTCTTTTACATTGTTGAGTAAGGAGAAACGGAATATACAAATAGTTTAGTATGCTTAACATACATAAATACAACACATCATAAAAGAAAGAATGGAAGTGTATTAATAAAAGCAAGACAGTAAATGAACAATTGTAGAAGTTGAATATATAATTACATAAAATAAATGGTCTTATATTGCAGAAGTGGAAGCAATTACTAGCACCGGGTTATAAGTAACAACCAACTACTTATATAGGCTCCATCTGTGCAATTGTAAATAGTATGATACAAGACATTCCATCCCTCTTGTACCAATGGAACTTGTCTCCCATATCGCCTAGTTGAATACATATCAACCCACGCCTGAAATAAGAACAACCATAATGCATTTCAGTCTAAAAGCAATACCAATTTAGCGAAAATAGAAATTAAATAAAACAAAGCATGTACTAAGGGAAGTATGTTGGAATTATATCTGCTGTCTAAATTACAAATTAGAGGTGAATAACTAAATTCATTGATAAAAAGTATCCCCTAAACCATATGTGGCAAGAGGTGAATAACTAAATTTACATAAACCCTAAATCTGAACCTCTACTAGAAAATCCTAAATCAGAGAGAAATGAACTAACCTTAATTCAGAAAACCCTCAATCCTTCGTAGTAGAGATTCTTCGCGTCTGCAAACCTTGAATCGTGTCTTCTTTTTCTGGGTAATGGTGGGTAATAAAAACCTTGAATCGTGCCTTCTTCTTCTTTAATGGTGGGTAATGAAAACCTTGAATCATGCCTTATTCTTCCTCTAGGACACTTCATATCAACGTCAGCACTCCACCTGGACAAATGTGGCAATTTTTTCAAACACAAACTAACGACAACACACGGAAGGATAAACGTGACACCAATTTAAAAGTTAAAGGACCAACTTGCCAATTTTTAAAGATAAAGGACCAACATGGACCCCGAGCAAAAGTTAAGGGACGAGAAAGGTTATTTTGCCAAAAGAAAATGAGGGAGTACTGCATTATGTCAAAATTTAGGTAAGGAAATGCTAACGAGTCCTGCAAGAGTACTTTTAATAGCTTAAAAGGGAAGGTTTTTTTTTTTGAAAAATAGATGCATTGGAACCTCATACAAAAGTACAAGCATATTAAAATTTCACGAAAATTGGTCAACATTACAAGCAGAACATTAAAAGTGGCACACAATGTGCATCATAACTAAATAAGTTATCATTTCTTCTTCTTCCAAGACTTCAATGACCTGGTTAACACTCCAAGCCTATAATCATGTCCATGTGCAGTTGTCATTTCTTCAAGTTCTAGTAAGGTTATAGGATGGTCACTAGTTGAACCTTAGCCTACAATTGGCTTTTGAAAACACTTCAACTTGATCCTTTCACTTTGCCTCTTTCTCAACTTGATGACAACTTTTCCCTTTTTTTTCTTTGCTTGTGCCTGACTTAAGTCACTATGAGTTGTGTTTACCACACATGAG